GCAGTTTTTAAAAACCGAGTGCTAGTCAGCCTTGCGTATCTGGGGTTCAGTCCGGTTTAAGGTTAAATTCCAAACAACAACACATACTAAGTGTTTCCCAATAAAATAATAGCTAATAATTATTAGTATAAAAGAGTTTTTGTATATATATATATTAATATTAAAACCATGGATGTAAAATAAATAAATTAAAAAAAACGACTTCCAAAATACACAAACAAATCTGGCAAAAATAATTAATCAATGCAAAGAAAAAAATTTTGAATTCAGGCCACCAAATATACCTATATAAAATTCACTTAAAATTACTACCAATATTCCCTCCACGACCGCGGACGCGCCGGCGTTACAGTTAACAATAGATTTCTTAGAAATTTAATTAATTTCTTAGAAATTTACCTGGAGGTTATATAGAAAATTCATATGCCGATGGGTCTTCTCGGCACTACCGGGGAGAGAAAAGATGCAAGACCGACAGACTGATGTGCTCACCGAGGCTGCTACAAGGTTCTAAACAGTCCCAGAAACTGTTTTGGCCCGACTTGGAACTCGAACCTAAGAACTCACGATCTGCAGTCGTACATGTTACCCACTAGCCTAAAAATAGAAGTAATCAATCAATAATACGGATTACCATAGGAATTCAGTGTCAGCTCTTCAAATTTTGATCTATTCAAAACGCCTCTTACTTGAACTATTGCCTATAACATTTTGAACGTTTAATGTCAAGGATAAACGTGATAGGATGAAGTGGCATTTGGCTTTAACTATCATGAGACACAAACCTTTAATATTTTGAGGTCCGTGACAATTGTATGCATGTGAATTTCGACGGTGAGAAGTAAGAATTCTGTGAAATTATAGTCTCGTTTTGCTTCTAGCGTATTTATATCTATACTAGCATTGCCCGCGGCTCCGCTCGCGTTCAGATGACCAAAACCAAATTCTTAGGTTTTACATATTAGTATACTCTTACAATGCAGTTTTTGTATTTTTTCTGAGAAATGAGATATTTTTCATGTCATGAGCATGAACGTTTGTGCAGTCATGGGTGTTTATATTTATAATATGTATCTATTTAAAATTATATATGTGTAGTGTATCAACTATCTGGTATCCATAACACAAGCCTCGTAGCTTACCATGGAACTAGATGATGCTGTGTGTTAATGTCCCAACATGTTTATATTTTATGTTTATTATACTAATTTCTATCTCGATACTCATGTCTCATACTTAACAGAATGTATATTAGCTTTACTAAACAAATACTTAATCTAATTAATATAATATTTAGTTAATAATACTAAAGATGTATAGATACCTGTTACATGTAATTGGAATAGCGTAAGTCTCGTACATAAATTTCATAGATCCGTATTCCTTTTATCATAACATAAGAGCAAATTAATTTTTAATACCATTTGCTATTGCAGAGTGAATGATTATTATTTACCTCTAATTATAAGTAAGTGATATCCATACTAATATTATAAATGTGAAAGTTGCACTGTCTTTTATCTTTTCATACTTAAACTATTGAATAGAATTCGATGAAATTTGGCAAGGGCATAGATTGCATCCTGGGATAGGACATAGGCTATCCTTGAACCATTCACCACCAAAAGCTTATATGATATAACTTATAAATTGTGTATTAGGCTATGTATTGATCTATTTTTAAGAACACTTTTTATTGTCTACTAGCGGCTCACCCTTCGCTCGGGTTCGCTTCTAGAATAACAAAACAAATCTATCCCACGAGAACCGTACATTTTCCGGGATAAAATTAACCTATATGCTATTCTGATGTAGTTTTAATGAAAGAGTACAAACATCCATACATATATACATCCAGACATCCATATTCCATATATTTTCACAAACTTTCGCATTTATAATATTAATAGAATTATTACGATACAAATAAGAATATTTATGAAAATAACTTATAACAATTTACATGTTACGAATTACGCCATATAATCAAGTTTATGACCTAATATTCGGTCAACAAAGAAAAAACGCCTGTAAGCCACAAAAAAGAATTGAATATAAAAAGATTAGTGCCGGATCAAGGATATTTACCTACTAAAAATGTGAATAACATCTTATCAATGTTTCACAATTTTTTAATAATATATAATCAATACAAGCATTGCCCGCGGCTCCGCCCGCATTCAGATGATCAAAAACCAAATTCTTAGGTTTTACATATTAGTATACCTACTCTTTTATCAAAATCCCTCCAGTGGTTTTTCTGTGATGCGGTAACAGACTGACAGACAGACAGACAAAAATTCTAAAAACTAAAGATTCGGCCTCTGTATCGATAATAATGTCTATTTCAATAAGTTTTTCCAAAAAATATCTAATATACAGATTCGGCTGGGTTACAATTTTATTATATGTATATATAACGCGTTGTATAGCATCTACAAGTATTATAGTTTCAAATGTATAAAGACAGAGAAAGAAGCGACTTGCACTCATAATACGACTCAGTCAGTTTTTTAGTACTCAGTAGGTATATTTACAAAAATGTATCTAAGTAACTGTAGACCAGTAGGATTTTTTAAATCCTCTCTTAGTTTAATTTTTCTAACCCTTTCAGGACTATAAGGTTATAACTTATAAGTACAAAAAATATACTAATATAGAAATTATAATATTAGAAATCAAAAATATTGTATTTTCTTTACTTTTTCGAGGATTTCGTAGGACACATGTGTCCCTGCAGTCAAGGGATTAACATAGAAAAATATGGCAGCTTTTCTGTAGAGCTTATATCTAAAAGATCGAAAATGAAAAGTAGGACGTCATGTCTCTTTCGCGTAAAAGATTGGAAACGTGTTTTCTTTGGTTCAAATAAAAAGTTTAGCACTATAAATTATATATTTGTTAAATAAAAATTGCCTGGGAATAAAAATTGAGTGCGATTGACTTTCACAAAAAATCAATATCCAACATTTTATGGTTTTAACCGGAATGAGATAAACGTATCTACACAATTGAAGCACTACCTCAAATCGATCTCGTAACTGATGTGATTCTATAATGATAACGGTATCGTTTAAAATAGCCGAGTTTTAAGGATTTAGAAAGTAAAAAATACCAAAAGTGGTTCTTTTTTCTAATTTAAGGCATTGTCTAGATTAAAGGCTCGTTTCATATTGTGACATTTTAGTAAACTGAAAGAATAACACTACAATGTCATATAATTTTACTTTTAAAATATTTAATTTGCAAAATTTTTTTTTCGATTATTCGCTCTCTCTCATAACGTAAGACCATTTCACTGTTACGTTCTATAAGTACAGTTAAGACGAAACAGATTTTACACGGAAAATATTTTACTGTATGTGGAAAAGACGTTAACATCAATATGAGCTTTGATAGATTGAAATGTATGCAAATATTTTGCAAATAGTACTCTGAAGTATATGATAGGATATTTTTTTTAATATATTATGTATAATGTATATACATATATAAGCGCGTGATGTATAACTATTGATCTAAGCTATTGTGTCTCATAGCATGCATCTTTTTATTAGTCTATTAGATTTACATGAAAATTTGATATCTATACTAATATAATAAAGACGTAAAATCTGTGAATTGTGAGTTTGCGAGTTTGTGACGTTGTAGGGGGTAATATCTGGATCTACTCAACCGATTTAGATGAAAATTGGTAAGAAAATAGTTTGAGACCCTGGGAAGGACGTAGGATACGTTTTTATCCTAGAAATCATCCCTGAAGAGTGTGAATATGGGGATGAAAGTTTGTATGGGGAACCAACCTAGGGACGAACCCGAGCGAAGCGAGGGTGAGTCGCTAGTTTTAAATAAACGTAACTATGTTTGTTGTAAAGCACCCGAAACATCAGCAAAAAATAGGAAAAAAAATAGTTTTATTTAAAATAACATTTCTTATTATACTATAAAGATAAAAGTCTCTGACTAATATTAAACTTTTAGTAAGGCAGTTGTTGCTCAGTGGTAACGCGCTCGCTTGCAAAACCAAGTGTAGCGGGTTCAAACCCGCACCTCTGATATTTACAAGTGCGAATTTATTTCAACACGATTATCACTCACTTTACTTACGGCGAAGAAAAACATCATTTAAGTCAACCTGCAAGTCAGAGAAAACCTAGCAAGTTTTAGAAAAACGTTTAAAGTCCATAAAGCCACACCTAGTGTGGTTGAGTGTGGCCTGTTTAAACGTAGCCCGTGCCCATTAAAAAAACGTGTGAAAAAAATTTTTTTTTTCTGTTACAATTCCTAATTATCGTTAAGGGCCCTTTACTGCGCAGACTATACAGTAAAACCGTAGTGAAAATTACTACGTTCTTTGTTTACAACGTTGAGGCAATGAATGCAGAGTAGTAGCTCCCAACGTCACGCTTTGTTTTACATACACTGGGTCAAACATTTGAAAAATCAATATAAAAATATGACCAAATAGATGAAACTTATAGCCATTATGAATAAATTTATACATAATATAATAAAATTGTAACTAAAACGAATCTGTACATTAAATATTTTTTGGAAAATCTTATTGAAATAAACATTATTATCGATATCGGCCGAATCTATAGTTTTTAGAATTTTTGTCTGTCTGCCTCACATCACAGAAAAACTACTGGAGGGATTTTGATGCAATTTGGTATGATGATAGCTGGTTATCCAGGTCAACATATAGGATACTTTTTACTGCGGGAAAACATCTCATTTTCGAGAAAAAATACAAAAACTGCAATGTAAGAGTATACTGATATGTAAAACCTAAGAATTTGGTTTTTGGTCATCTGAACGCGGTCGGAGCCGCGGGCAATGCTAGTTTAAAATATTATCTTAGCATGTTTGTCTCATAGCTCAGCTTGACTAAAAAAAACTATCTATAATTACCAAAGCTAAGCAACTGCTCCTGTGACTCAAACTAGTGAACTGGCTGCTAAGTAGGTATAATAATGAAATTTCGATGAAGTATAATAATGAGATTTCGATGTCTTGCTCTTGGATTCCGTTCGAGCATTGATTTAATTGTTAACAATGATGAAACAAAGTAAGAAGCTTTCAGAAAACCTAATATATTCCAATACTAAAAGAAATGTGTGTTCACAAAGAAAAAGTGATTTTTTTATTATTATTTTCTTCTTACATTGATAGTTCATATGGTTTATTTACATTTTAATTGTTTATCATTTCTTAGTTGTTTTAATTTTTATAACAGTTTTTTTTGTGTTTGTAATATTTTTTAATTATGTAAGTTTGTAAAATTACTAATTGCAAAGAATATTGTATTGTTTCTCCGTTCTTCTTTACTTACTTGAGTTAGACTGTAAGTGAGGTATATAATTTCTATCTTATATAGGTACATAAGAGTTTGCTCTAGAATGAGGGTCAATATTGTATACAACGTTGGCTTCCTATTTAATAAATAAATAAATAACTGAAAAAAATTACATAGCTTATAAGAAAATTATACCTAATACGAATCTTTCATATTTCAGGTTCAGGATGTCTCCGGCAGCTTCGTTTGGGGAACGATGGGCCCGTGACAACCTAACCAGACCCGTTTCAGATGAAGAAATAGCAATATTAAACATATTTCCAATCACTAGTGAAGGTAATGAAGTAGATGCATCTAAGAGAGCCAGGAAGTACTATACTGCAAGAGGCCCCGGTGGTCTGTCGGATTTATGGCACAGAAGACACCCTGATGATGAAGACATCCTGTCTAGCTGTCAAGATGTGTGAGTCTTCTTATCATAGCTTTTAAAAGTAATCCAAGGCAATTAGTAACTTTTATTACTAGAGTAATCATTTATTACTCGACTACGTACAGTGTAAACATTCTCGCTTAGAATACCCGTAATAACATAATGTAGGTATTAGCTTTTACCTTTGCTATTTATCGTATTTATTCTTAATAAATTAAAAATTAATGATATCAATACATAAAATAAAATTGTAACTAAGCCGAATCTGTACATTAAATATTTTTTGGAAAATCTTATTGAAATAGACATTATTATGATACAGAAGCCAAATCTATAGTTTTTAGAATTTTTGTCTGTCTGTCTTTCTGTCTGTTACCTCATCACGGGAAAACCACTGGAGCGATTTTGATGAAATTTATTATGATGATAGCTGTTTATCCGGGTCAATATAGGATACTTCTTACCACGGAAAAATATCTCATTTCTGAGAAAATATCCAAAAACTGCAATGTAAGAGTATACTAATATGAAAACCTAAGAATTTGGTTTTTGATCATCTAAACGCGGGCGGAGCTGCGGGCAATGCTAGTTAAACATAAATATTATACAAAATTATCTTTCCTATATACATTACAAATGCGAAAACGTGTATGTTTATTTGAGACAACGTTTACTCTTTCTTATATCTGGCACTACATTTTGTGGTAAGAAAAAAATATATTTTTATTAGTACTTAGATCTTATTAAATAAATAATAACATAATCGAAGCTCCACAATAATAATACGAGATATTTACTGTTCTATATATTGAAGTACCATATACATTATACATACATTATATATAATAATTGTAATATATACGTACATATATAACCAAACATTCATACATATGTTCTACAAACAAACACACACACACACATGCACACATTAACAAATACATAAATACATACGTAATACATACAGTACACATATACAAATAGAATAAATAAGGACAAAAAAAAAAAATATTAAATGTTAATTAAGTTGAAGCTTTATCTAAATATTTGCCCATACTGTAATAAGCGAGTGGACATGCGTGCGAGGAATACTATCCTACCGTCATACAGTTAAACTAGTACGGAGGGTAGTGTTTACTTAAACATTGTTAGCTTGACTTTTAAATACTTGTTTATAAAGTGCTGTTTATTGTACAATAAGCTGTTGATATAAATAAATAAATAAATAAATAATAAATAAAAAATAGCTTACAAATTACTATAAACCTAAATGAAAAAAAAGTAGGTATAAAGATATAAAATATATATAAATACGAAGTCTCATGTGTCACTTTATTGATTGATTTGATTAAAAAAATCCTTTAGAACACAAACTAAGATTTCCTCTTGAATTCTATTAAAGGACGAATAGCCAGGAATCCTTTCTTAGTGGTGATTTTCCGTATATAATCTGCCGTGCAAAATCTTATGCTTATAATCGGTTTTGAGTTTAGATGCATTCTTCTTTCTTACTCTTCTTTCTCTCATCTTTTATTCTTCTAAAAGTCAATTGTAATCAGTCTTTGAATTATACATAATACGTGAATGGCTATTAAAGATAATGCTATGCCGTTTTATTACAGATATATAGTACCTCTTCGTGCACGCAGTGTAGGAGGGAAGCGTATGACAATAGTGCATCTACCTGCACCCACGGCTCAGGAGCGGCCGCTCTCAGCAAAGGCCTTGCTGGCAAGGTGGCTCATGATCTTGGATATAAGGTCAGCTTGTATTTTAATATGGTTATTAATAACTATTTATGTACACGTTGTAGGCTCATGTCATGATTCTTATTGACTGCTATTTTTAATTAGTCTAGGTTTATATTACAATAAATCCCACTTCCAATATTTATCATGTAATAAATAAAATTGTAGCTAAGCCGAATCTGTACCTTACATATTTTTTCGAAAATCTTTTTGAAATAGACATTATTACCAATAAAGAAGCCGAATCTATAGTTTTTAGAATTTTTGTTTGTCTGTCTGTTACCGCATCACGGAAAAACTACTGGAGGGATTTTGATGAAATTTGGTGTGATCATAACTGGTTATCCGGGTCAACATATAGAATACTTTTTACTGCAGAAAAATATCTCATATCTGTGAAATCTATATACTAAACGTTAAAAGGTAAGTAGGGACGAATCCGAGCGGAGCGATGGTGAGTCGCTAGTACTTAATAAATAAGAACATAGTATTTGTAGTGTGTTCAAGCTAGAGCATGCTCCGACATCAACTACCTGTGCTATTTTAATAGATAATGACCGAAACTGAAATAAGCTTTAAAAGTTATGTTAAAAAACAGTAGCCTTGAGTTATAACTTTAATTTTAAATAAATTATTGTGTTTAATATACTTAGTCTGAAAAAGTTGTTTTTAATAAAAACCTTGTGACACAGACATGACACTACACATTTTGATGATCTCAAAATTTTATTTCATATATCTGGACAACTAATACAGGTATCAATAATCAAGGTCAAATAAAATATGAATTTTGTTCAATTACAATTTTGTCTTATTTTCTTTAATATGAATTACGATTTTTGAGAAAAAAGTATCATAAATATATCGGATACTTATCAATAAACATTCGTGCAAATAAAACACGAACATATGATATAATTTCATACATATTCTATGATATACAAAAACGATATTTATCTTGATCTTCATTCTGAATTAGAAACTTTATGAAACAAAAGGAAATTCTTTTTCTTACTTGAGCAAAATAATTTTCAATTTCAGGCTGCGGGAAGACCCAACACCGGGTGAAGAGGTCGTATTTATAGATGTCAGTGATTTACAACCGTCCCATCTCAAAAACCATTTCCGAGGGTCCTATTGGAAGGATTTTGTATGGTGTATGAAGGTAACTTTATAATGGAAAAGTTTAAATTAGGTTCTTATGTTTTTGTCACGAGCATTTAAGTCAGACTTTGCTATTGCTAAAAGTTATTTGCAGGCGAGTTAAATTTAATCTAACAAATTAGTAGCTAGAGTACTGTGAAGACTAAAGTACCTACAACCTACATTTATAAGTAATTTATCTCTAAATAAAGTTTTACCAAAGCAAATAATCATAGAAATAATTTGAATATTTTGTGAGAGACAGACGTTAATGATTTAACTTGGCATATTTTGTTAGAAGTTCTCTTAATAATTTAAATATCTCCGTAGTTCGCCCTACTTGCGTAAGTTTAATAAACTGATTTGGGTGCTACAAATTTTACTATGTAAAATTGACTTATTTACTACTATTACTATTGCTATGAGCGACTCACCCTCGTTTCATTCGTCCCTAGTACGTTATAAAGGTTAGTATGGAATAGATAGATTTTGTATTATATTACTGCTCCACTCCCTTGGGTAGTAGCATGATGATATATAGCCTTCCTGAATAAACGGGCTATCTAAAACAAAAAGAATTTTTAAAATCGGATTTACAGTTCCTGAGATACAGGAAACAAATAAACGTACGAACCAACGATTGAACAAACAAACAAACAAATTCCGCCTCTTTATAATATCAGTATAGGTATATTTTTTATAGGCTACGTAAATAAGTGCAAAGCCGAAAAAAGTTTAGATATTATATTTTTTTAACTTTTAGATCGTTAGAATAAATTGAAGCCATTTTTAAAACACCTATTTAACATACATATTTGTTTATTTAGTATTAAATATTTTTTTAATTCTATTTTCAGTCGGTCTACCCCATCAAATTTTCTGAAGTACATATCATCAACACATACCGCTTGAAAACGATGTCTTTGGTACTGTTACACCTCGGTCTGTACCCATGGCGACGCAAAATCATCCAATTACATTCAGATGCCGAGCAAATTAACACCATGAGTGCTGACTACTTTCCACCTGAAGGTCTACCGTACGAGTACGGTGGAAAGGCTGGCGCAATGAAAGATCTTAACGGTAATATGCCACAATAAATGATTTAAATAATTTATTTCTTATATTTCATTGTAAAAATTACTTAAATCCGGAAAGATGTGTTACTTGTATTTACAACTAGTGACTCACCCTCGCTCCGCTTAGGTTAGTCCCTAGTTACATTTTGGATAGATTTCACAGAGATGAGATATTTTCCCGCAGTAAAAAGTGTATGTTGACCCGTATCACCAGTTATCATCATAACTAATTTCATCAAAATCTTTCCAGTGGTTTTCTCGTGATGCGTTTCCAGACAAACAGATAGACAAAAATTCTAAAAACTATAGATTCAGCATCGGTATCGATAATAATGACTATCTCAATAAGATTTTCCAAAAAAAATGATTTAACTTACAGAATCGACTCAGTTTTAATTTTATTATATTTATAGATAGATGTATAGATGTCAAATATAATCTAAGAATATAATTATGAATTATTAAAATTTAATCTAAAAAAAGCTCTTTTGAAACGGTTTTCGGTTGAAATTTTAGATTGCTATATTTTCCATACTGAATATTATAAATGTTAAAGTGTGTTCGTTTATTTGTCTTTCTTTCACATCGAAACGGAGTGACGATTGGCGTGATTTTTTATGTGGAGATAGTTGGAGGGCTGGAGAGTGAGTGACATAGGCTATATAAATATGTGTTTCAGTATTTTTCGCAGTATATGCCATAAGGGGGTAAAAGCCGCGGGTTGTGCTAATAATGTATATAATATATTCTGTAGCTTTTATCTTTTTAAAGCAAAGACTCATTTAATATACCTACCACTGGAGTGGAGCAGTGGTTAAGAATGAGTAGCAATTATATTATCAATTTTAACCATATAACATTTTTTAGCATTTTTGGTCTGTCTGATTGATAATATTAATATCAATAGAAAATAACAAGATAGGTTTGTATAAGAATTTCTATATTCATTTTATTTTACATTCCAGATGAATGGACAAAGAAACTATTGCTCAATTCGAAATGGCTGCAGCTAGAAGAGCGTAAATTCTACGAAACAGAATTAAAACCAGAAATAAAAAGAACACGTCACAAAAGCACTGTGCGTCTAACTAGAACCTCTTCGTATGACATGCTCACTCGCACTCATTCCTGTCGTTCTCTTCATAGGCAAGACGATTTGGATGAAGGGACACAAGGCGCTTATAGGATTTTAAAAGTGACAGAAAAACATTTTTACGTATGACTTTTAAGTTCATATCGACACCTCTGAGAAACAATATTATAGCTCAGTATTGTAGCAATAAAAAATATAACTAATCTATTTGTATAGTTGTACCAAGACATATAAATATTTCAAATTTAAGCTTTTTTCATCTAATAAATTCGGGAGAAATAAGATGTGAATAAAATAGACGGACAGACAGACGCATTAACCTATGTTGGTTCTGTTTTGTTATCAAATGTACAGAAACTTAAAAATAATAACCATTTTATAGAATATTTTCGAAAGACGATTTAAAGTCCTAAGTCAGAAATATCCAGTTATATTAATATCCTAAATCACAATTAAACTCAGTGACTCAAGTTCTTGAAACCTAGGTGTCAATAGTATAAGTAAAAAGTATTCATTGTAGAAATTTAAGTATGACAGGCAATGACAAGGAATAGAGTTATGTAGCTAAAAAAAAATTAGAGAGACTGTCAAACTACTATAAACTTACTGTAATAAATAATGATTAGAGAAAGAACGTGTTAGTTACAATGTACTGGCTACGTAATTCATAGTTTTAAAAATGTAATATTAGCATTACAGAATCGAATAAGATGATAAAAGAACAAACAAGTATTTGTGAAATAACAGGAAGTTACAAAATTGACGTATAATTAACTAAAAATGAAAGCAAATAATTTGAATAATTAAGTAATCCATTTATCTAAAATAATATATAGTAATAAAGTACAAAATAAGTATAAAATATTTAATCAGAAAATTTGAATTTTGATAAAACTGTGCCTTAACACTAAGTGTGTAGTTTTCGCCACTAGCAACACTGTGTTCTGATTCGGTACCCATAGAAGGTTATTTGACAATGTTTATGTATGAATTCATCCCTTTTTAACGTCCCACTGCTGGGTGTGCGCTTCCCTTGAATACGAGGGGAATCATGCTATAGTCCACCATGATGGTCAAGTGTGGGTTGATACTTTTTATCTAAAAGGTTCATCGACTTCATAATTAAGAGCAAATATTCCATATTATAGAGTACTACTCTGAAGAGACCTGTTCATTATAAAATGAAACATGAAAATCGATCATCGATTGGGGAAGATATGCGAAGATATAGTGTAACGTAAACAAAAAAAACTGCTCAATGAAGTAAGAACCCATAAAAATATGATCTTTCTACAAATCATGAGTTATATAATTAGTTCCTATAACTTTTCGTTCACTTTAATAAAAACGCAAAGATATGAATTGTTTCATTTTAAGCAACTATAAACATATAGGTATATGTACCTAATAGAATTGCCAGTGTCCGCTCTTTTACTCTTTCTAGAATATCAAATTAATTAATAACTGTAATAATGCCTTCCTTAAAAATTTCGGTTACAGCAGCTAACTTTACAGATCCAGCTAGCTGCGCAGATAATCAGTAACATAGTACTGCACCTATGTGCACAGGTACAGATACACTTTTTATACACTATACAGTATATAACCCTTTATAGTACAGTTATATTACAAGGGAGCAAAATTTGACGCGGCGAGTGAAAGATAAGGAGTAGGAATGTCAGCTAAACAGCGACTCCTAGCTTAGTAAATACGGGGTATACAAAAAAATAGTATCAAAATATAATAAGTTGCTTTTTAAGTAGAACAAACTTAAAATTCACTGTATGAATAATTATTCCTCTCTCAATAACACATTTTTTACTTAAAATTTATATGAAATTACCTTAAAATATCTTATTGAATAACTCAACCTAAATACCGGGATACTATTATTTAAAATTAAAATATATCGTCACGTGCCAACTAGGGTAAATATTCTATTTTTAACCCCCGACCCAAAAAGAGGGGTGTTATAAGTATGACGTCGATGTCTGTCTGTGTGTGTGTCTCTATCTGTGGCATCATAGCTCTCAAACCGATGGACCGATTTCTATGCGGTTTTTTTAATTTGAAAGTCAGTTACCTTGCGATGCTATGTTTGCTTAATATCGGTCCAGCAATATAAGAGTATCAGCTCTTTTCCAAAATGATGTAAGGCATTTTAGCGTACGATTACTCGATTAAGTGCTTCACGCGTGCCAGTGTAATCGTTAAATGACAATTAATTTGACTAGGGTATTTTTTTTAATTTTTTAATTTATAATTATACACCATAAACATACACAAGAACGTACATATATGTTAAGAAAAACGATTTTGTACTAACTATATGCAGAATTTCTATAAAAAAGTCAACACTCTATAGTCTTGCTCTCAGGCTGTTATAATATGCTGTTATGATACTTGCAATTATTAGATTTAAGTATTTATAGTTCCGTTGCCGGGAGTGCAATTTGCTTTTAACAATTGCAATCTACTCGTATATTCCCTTATGACAGATGATATAGTCCCTGGAGTTATTAGATATTCTACTATAACGCCATATCCTGAAATAAATTAAGTCGTGTATACAAATAAAATAATGATTAATTAATTATCCATCAGTATTTTCCGCATCTTCGAACCAGACCAAGTACAAACCTAACTGGTTAGATCGTGCAATGTTTTTAGGGTTCTTTAACAGTTTTCACACTTTTTGTTAATTATATCTCTGATCTCTCAGTATTCAGCCCTTTTTAACGTCCACTGTTGTGCATAGGTCTCCCTTCAATACGATGGAGATCTCTCAATAATGTGATAAATACAACGGTTTGTAATGACTGTGGCTTTATTTGTGGATTACGGGAACACAGTATCACAGCTGATGTACTCCTTCTAGATCTACTTCTGTCATATAAACACTACCCTTTCACAACAAACACATACACAAACACACACACATACGATCACGTATACATACACACACACCACACATACATACACATAAAATCAACCAACAGATCAATAAGGTACACTCGCTAACTAAACAGATAATTTATTATCGACATTATTTAGGGAATTGGCCACCAAACCATGTTATTTGTATTGATAACTTAAATTATTTGTTCCAAATTGTACTCTACTAAATATTTTTCAGCTACAATATTATGTATGTCTTCTTGAAAAATAAACTAATAGTATTATTATTACTTTTTAAAGCCGTAACGACTTAAAGAATTGGAGTGAAATTAACACACACGTAATACTCGTATGTATATTGATTTGTTGCATTTTGGTTTGCCGTCTCATCGGAAAGTTGGAGTTGAACTGGCACACGCTCATGTACACTAAAATATTAGAAACCAATCTCACTATGACTGAACATTTCCCAGGAACAAATAACCTTCCGCCAATAAGTAACTAGCGATACCAATTTTACCAATATTATAATTATTAATCAGTAAGGCTCCATATTTAACCGTTTCCATTAGAACTAAGAGCCCTTAAATCATACTGTAATTAATATTTGTGTAAATATAAATGTACTTTTTGCCTCGAACGGATTCGAACTTGTTACTAAAGCAGCGATATAAAGTCGAGCTAAGCTAGACAGTTATACAATTTTATTCTAAAAAGAAGTCACGTAGATTATAACGAGAACGGTATTCAGACGCCGGGCGTTATATATTTCTTATTTGCATTGAAACAATAGAACTCCCGGGATACGGATCCATTACAATGCAAGGTTATTTAATATCTTTAATAAGTACGCTATTCAATGGGCCTGATTTTTATTTTTAATCTCCCTGTCTCTGGGCATTTGCTTCGAAAGTATCGTCACAAGTATGTATTTACTACTTTTACGTGGTTATTGTCCGATTTCACCAACGTCACCTAAGTTTAAGGGATCCCCTAAGCATGGTTAGGGGGCTGTTTTAGGGGACAAATTCTCTTTCACCGACAGTTAGGGGTCACCTAAATATTAAAAGGCCCCCTAAATTTAGGTGCTCGAAATATGGGCTTAAAGACGATCGTAAAACGAAATTTAATTTAGGGGCTAGTTTAGGGGACTTTTAAGCTAGGGATCCCATACGTAGGTGGTAGCTTATGGGTTGTTGGTGAAATCGGGCATAAATCTTTTATATTTTACTAGTGCCCCGTTTTTTTTTTGGTTTTTTTTTTGGGAAGATTTTGTTCACAATTTTATGGGTTTAATTTTTTTGCGCAGACCCTAATTCTCTTTCTATAATTAAAGAACTTCTTACCTTGACCGTTAAACGTGCGTTATCTCAAATACTTAAGTGGTTCAATATTAATAATTTAGCATTAAACACCAAGAAAACTAAATGTATTCAATTTATCCTACCTAATGTAAGGATTTTATTTTATTGGATTTTAGTTTTTTTTTAAATAATTAAATTCTTAATACTGTAGATTCCACAGTATTCTTGGTTATAACACTCACGTCTTCAGTGGAGCCCCCATGTGTCATTTCTTGCGAGAAGACTGAGCTTCGCTGTGTTCGCTGTTAGAAAAGGCAGACAGCTAACAGATGTTGATACTGCTAGACATGTTTATTTCAGCTACTTTCACAGCATCTTGACTTACGAAATTTTGTTGTGGGGTTATGCAGGGGATATAAAATCTATATTTATTCTCCAAAAAAAGGGCTATTCTCCAAAAAAAGGGATGCGTCCCTAGGTCCAAAATTCCTAGTCCATCTTCTCCAGGTTCAGGCAGATCTACTATTATAAATTAAATTTCATTTAATCTGTCAGCCATTTCAAAATTAAGAAGTAACATATTATATACACTCACTTTTGCATTTATAATAATAGTCGTCTCAGTTAATATAATATATTTTTGGTATTGGTACTGTAATGAATGGCAAATAACAAAATCACTTCGTATAGAATAATAAAAATTGTAACTAAGCCCAATCTGTTCATTAAATATTTTAAGAAGTTTAAGAAGAATTTGATACAGAGAACGATCGAGGAGGATCGATACGAATTTTTGACTGTCTGTCTGTGACCGCATCACAGAAAACTCACTGGAAGGGTTTTAATAAAATTTGGTATGATGATAGCTGGTTATCCGGGTTAACATAAAGAACTGAGAAATCTATACTAAACGTTAAAACGTAA